GAATTAAGTCCAAATTCACTTTGGAAGCAGATCCCTTTTAACAGTCTTCTTTATTATCTTCTTAATCTCTGTTGACATTTAGATTCAATGCTCGAGTTTATGGACCATGAACATAACATTAAGAAGATTTTAATATCTTCAACAATGATTGTATGTGGTAATTCTTTGTGACCATTTGCCGCACCTAATAAACATCATTGATGCTTCAACACAAATTGACATCAAGTATACTTCCATTACGTCCTATCCTATTACACTCAATTAGTAGCTAAGTAATCAATATTTATACACTACATTCCTAATATTCTATATCACTACATTCTTGGCATTGGCACATTTGGTAATGGCATCATTATCCTGCTTCCTAATGTGTCCGTAAATGACATTTCCACTCTAATTCAATTTGCAAAGAAGGAAATGTAATATACAAATGTATCTAACCCATAGAGTTCTAGGAAATATATTATTTTTCACTGGCCTAATGGGTCTCTGAGTTCCTCCTGCAATGATCTTTGTAAGGAAAAGACATTTCTTTTACAGGTTTTTACAACATTTTGTACATGCACTGGGATACAATGTCTTTAAGCAGTCTGCGTAGTGCGTACCTAGTATGTCAAGAGAATTTGCTTCCCAAGTACAAGTGAATTGATTCTATAAGAAAAGTCATCTCCATTTTCTTGTGGAAACAATGAAAATTAGAAGAAAAAAGATAAGATGAAAAATATATTCAGATTTGAAAGCAGTTAAATTGTCAAAAACACATTTTCTCTGCTGTTTATCACTATTTTTTTTTTTACTAGTCTTAGACTATTTTATTTGATCTAGGGTAGTTTCAGTGAATTCAGTCGGTTCTTAAATGAAACAGAAACTATCAGCTATCTTGAGTTCCTAACCACCGCAAGAAATGATTACCGGTATGCTGCATTGCCTTCTGTACAAGCGTCTAGACTTAATGCATGAGAGGAAACAAACAGGAAGAAATTACAATTTTGTTCATTTACACCTGTGAATTAAAGGGGATTTTGATTTCTGGTGATCAGAAAATCATACTTTGACTGTTTGCCAATCATTCTAAACCAGTTGTGCTGTAAATCAGATCCTTTAACTAGCAAAATGAGATTAATAATGAGCAAAAACAAACAAACAACAATTATGTGTACACTCCTACATGTAAATTTTTGCACCTGTTTGCAAAAAAACTACATATTTTATCAATAGGCCTTATGTGTCTGATAATTCTCCTTTTCTATGATTATGACTGAATTAGTGCACACTTTTCTTATTCCACTTTCCCTTCCAATTTGGGGAGCAAATATTATTTGTTTGTCTAGTCATTTTATGTACCGGTATATTAAGAAAATCTTCTTTTCATTGTTCCTACAACCTTAGACTGCCTTTAACACTTTGGGTGCTTGCTTCACCTTTCTGGACAGTAACTAGTTTGCCACATATGCATTTTGCACAAACAACAGACACAATTTTGTGGGAGTATTGCTTTGCTTACCAATAAACCATGTTTCTAAATGTTGCAAGCAAGCAAGCAAAGCAAGTTGGGAAAAAGACACTGTATTATCTTTTAAATGGTATTTCCTCTTGAAAATACACAGCGGTTTCTAATGTTTCGCTTTCACAAAATTGATAGAGATGTCTTTCGACACCCCCATAGAAATACGCTGATCTATCCATGGTAAATACTGTGTGACACTGGGAGATTATTTTTTAGCATATAAAGGGTTAAACATGTAAAATTTGCGTAACTGTGTAATACCAGCATTGTCGTCTAGACACAGACTTTCACAGGAGAGAACCAACAGGAAAATAACAAGTTTTCACTATAAAGATTACAGCCTACATGTACCAACCTGTAAAACTATAGAGCAGGAAACAGAAGACTCGCTGTAGCAGGTTTTTGACCCTTTCTGACCTTTCAATTACTCTTTTAACTTCCTCTGTAACAGGATTGTGTTTTATACTGTTTGTACAGCTCGAAATCCAGTTTTGTTGAATATTTAATGAATATAAGAATATATTGTCAAAAATTCAGGATCGCAGACGTGCAGTTCGATTTTTCCAGACTGTAACAGTCAAAACTTTAGCCCTAGGATACAAAATTGACTGAGGGCTTGACTTTAAAAAAAATTAAGTGTTACAAAAAATATACAAGTTTGTATTTCTATTGTGAATCAAGGTTATCTTGCAGTGAAGGATCATGTAGATGCACTTGTGGTTTCTAAAGCACAAAGTTTACTTGAAGTTTTAAACCACAGGCAATCTTATAGTTGACACGAAACTATGAGAGCAGTGGGGGGGGGGGGGGGGTAGGTGGGGGCGTCATCATTGATAAAGATGTGCTACATGGACGTAATAAACTGTTAGGTGTCATCAGCTTGTGCTTATGATTGCTTGCCGTACTTATGATAGCTTGCCCGACTTTTAATTTAAAGCTTCAAGCAGTTATCATTTCAGTGCCGTATGAATCCATATCATTGAAAGTGCGTTATTTAAAAAAAAACATTGATGTTTCTCAAACTAAAGTTTTTTAAAACTACAAAAATTACAAATCCATAGTATTAGAGACTGCTAGAAATCTGACTTTATCTTGTGTTACTTTGAATAGGCTAAGTACTCTGCATGTCACATCACACATGAAGGGATGCAATATACAATGAATGGAACTGTTTGCACGGAGGTGTTATCAAAAGATCTAAGAAGTGTCAAGAATAGTGTCTAGATCTGTGTCAATTTGCTCTCTGATCACCAGTAATGAATGAAAGGTAATATCTAACTTTGTAAACATTGCAGTCCATGTCAGAACACTCATGCTCTTTTACCCGCTTTCAACTTTGCTGTATATCTTCTTCCTTTAGTAGCTACAAGGAACCCAACTTTGAAGATTGATAGAACATTCTACTGCCTGCTACAATGTATGTAATACACTTGGAACTTCATATTTCATAGCACTTGGTCGATCTTACTTAAATACAGAAATAACAATGAATTATATTATTAAGAGATTTAGTCATAAGACTGTTAGTACTGAGTTGACTACATGGAAGTAGTTTCTGCAAAAATGAATTGATGGATTTTCAACTCTTTATCAAATGTACATCATGAAACATGGTCACCTGTAAACGACTTATACTATATATTTACTATTTACTATATATTCCTGATAAAAAAGGTGTTAAATCTGTTGAAATACCTTTTTATATGTATACATGTATGACACCAACCTTGTTGCTCTCAGGCTCTCATCAGGCAATTAATGACAGGTTTTAAAGGTACTATGTCCCTTTTGCAGCCAACCTCAAATTCTGAAGACCTTTGCAGGAATTACGAATATGTCATCATTGTCATGTAAGTCCTATCTGCAAAATTTAAACGTTAGCAGTGTCCTAATATTCAAATTATGCAAGGAAACCGTTTACGTGCTAGACTTCACTGTCAGACACTATTGAGTGCCTGACTGGCTTTTTTTCTTCTTTGGTAATAACACACATAACATGAGCTGTAAAGGGTACATGAGCATTTGTCTACATCAATAACCCACTTCTTGTGATTGCCAAAATTAAACTGATTGAATCTTTGCGGAGCATAAAACGTATGACCATTCGGTACAATGGTCTGAAAATCAAGACTACCGGTATTACTTATTGGCTCTATAGCTCCTAAGTCGATTTGACGACTAATAGTCGTTATTTTCTCACTTGAAGACATTTTCAAGCCCCACCTTTTTTAGGGAAGTTCTAAATTACTATTATCTTTCAAATGTCGTTGGAATTTAACCTTTTCATTTTTTGGGGCCTGCAAATGGGACATAGTACCTTTAAACTGTTTGTCTTGAGCTGAATACAAACCACTTTGTAATTTTAAATTGAAATATTTTCACCTCTTGAACATAGCGTAATCTACCCAGGGTGTTTCTAATTTTTGAGAGCTAGAAGAGCGCTAACTCTGTTAACTTATACAAGTACATTGTAACTGTTCTTTGGCTCTCAGCAGATGCATGTACAGTGTATTTCATTTCCGATAAAAGTTCTTGGTCTGCATGCTTACGAACCACTGTAACATACTTGTGCATAGAATGTTGGTATTGGATGGCAAGATATTCATGTTATGCATGTCATTTCCCAGTTATGAACAATAGGCTCTTTATCCTTCCTCTAAATAATGTCCCTCACACCATGTTGCTATGGCAACCAGCAGTTGTTGACATGCTGTTTGAGGGGATCGGTATGTTCACTAGGAGCCTACACATTACTGGATAGTTTGTGTATATTATAGGGTTTCCTGTCACAATAAGTTTTGCTGTTTGTTGTACTTGAACTGGATTTTTGTTTTTATCTATTCAAAGTGTACAATGTTCACTGCAGGTCTGTACTACTGTCCATGGTATGTAGGTGGTACATCACAACATATCTGTTTTTGATTTATTATTTTGTAAGTGAATACAGTGAAACTGAAAGTTTATGTGAAGTTAAGAGTGTTTAACATATTCTTATAACTTAACTTACATCTGATCATCCATTTTAAAACGACTGATAAGTTGTGAAAATATTTACATTATTGAAAATTTTAGGATTTTAGGCTGGAAATATCTTCAGCCACAGTTCAAAGTCCATTATTCCAAGTGCAATCTGATCTACTCTGATGTTTTGATTTGATATCAACATAGCACAAATTACTCTGTTATTGTATACCGGTAATGTAGGCCTATATATTGTTGCGCAGCCCAGACGTAGGGCTACATAAACAATGTAAATGTAGGCATAGATGTGTGTCCATGTTCACAAACTTCCGTAATGATAATACACACAATTATGTGGATTCACAGTCATCTGGATTTCTGCTCTATTTGATATTGTAATCAATATCCTGCATGGCTTCAGATTTCTACTAGATAGAAGCAAGTAGGCTTTAAATACACAATAACAATTTCAATGGGATGGAGTTACCACCTTATTGCAGTGACCTCTAGCTCATTTACTTTGAATCTGTAGGTCAATACTCCAATGATGTTCAGTGTGAAAAGCGGTAGAACCAGAGATTTCATCGTATCCCAAGTCCTGCGAGAGTCGAGCTGTTCAAATACTCGTCATTGGTGGATGCAAGAGGCACAGGGCATAAATGTGCTCCCCCTTTCCAGCAAAACCCAATAGGACCTACATCATACATGTACGTGTACCTTAAGTACACATATAAGCAGGGCTCTAAAATATCTTTTCCTTGAAGGGAGTCCGTATCTAATTTTTCACACTCTGTATGCATGAGCCCTATGTGCAAACAAAATAAAATTAAAAAAAAAAATGTTGGGGGTCTGTTTGTCCCGGGCATCATTCAGTGTTGAGCCCTGTAACATTTCCCCAATAATACACATTTTAGATCTTAAAAAGAATCTGTAAATGTGAAACAATAATCCTTTTTTTAGTAAACCTGAAATTTGTTGACTTACAGGGTGTGTACATGTATTCCCCCACTCCCCAGTAAGAGAACCCTGATACCGCCACTCACAGATGTACCCAGTGTCTCCTGTGCAGTCTCACCGTACATAGTATCAAGTCCGAGCCATCACCAATGTCCTCATAATCGATTGCTCATCACTCTGGTGGGCCATCTATTGTTTGTTCTTCAATCTCTCACTGTGGACACAGCTAGTCCTCCTGACTGACTTCATGGTACTGGGCCTACGACGGTGATTGCTTTCCTTATTATTAGCTTCACAATGACTGGGTCATATTGGTTGATGCGGCTATGATAAGTGGGTCTTTGGAAAGGTAGTTTGTAACATGTGTTGTAAGAGTGTATGTACCCTGTACCTAAGCGAAATGACCTGGATTTGCTAGCTATATATGTTCCGAAAGGAGTGAGCAATTCCAAAAAGAGAGGTCACTTATAAAAAAAGAAGACAGCAAATTTTGTCCATCTATCGTATGCTGATAGCCAGTACTTACTAACTCTGTGTATATTAGTAATAATAATAAATCTAGATTTATATAGTGCTTAATATGAAATATGATCTTCTAAGCGCTTTACAGATATTATTCCTACCCCGGTTATTTGATAAATTCATGCAGTGTGCACCATCTCCACTTCCTGGGGAGGTTTTTTATCATATGGTCACTGTGAGGGCATACTATCACAAAGGTTTTGGTCACTCTACCAGGTCCCCATTCCTCTCCTGGGTATGGAGTGGCAGATACATTTTGTATATTAATACCTTGCCAAAGGTCATTAGTTCTGTGTTGGGGATCGGACTCACAACCTTTGCATTTCCAGTCAAGTACTGAGGCCCCTCGGCTACAACACCTATGTATATGAATCAATGCCCTTCTGTATCTCAGTAGATGGTAATCATTCATCTTACGCAGTATACATACACTTGTACAATGCTATGAGGAACAGGGGCTTTGTAAACGAGGCAGATGTATTTTCTTCTCCATAACACACCCTTGCTATTGTCAGATAAAACACAATGATATCATCTGGAGCATTGATCAGATAACACAATTTTGCATCTCAGGAGGGGTTTTTCTATTGCAGCCCCTAGTGGGTAAATGTCAACTGTACTTTTCATCTCCATGTATCTGCGGACTATTCTCAATTTTCAGATGATGTAAACCTAATTTGATATTATTGGAAGCAACATTCTATGTGAAATGAGGTTATAAATATTCCCGCTTCACCTCAGCAAATTTGGTACATTTATCGCTTTACTTTATGTATTCTTCAGTGTACCTTCCACTTTTGTAGATCTTAATATGCCCACAGAAATGGCCAAATCCCATCATCCCTTATTGCTGTATCATAACAATGATAACACATGTTTCGTGTACCTTACTAGTTATAACTTATCTAACCAAAGCACTTACAGCATTACATAGCATACAGATTAGCCTTCTTTTCCTTTTATCAAGCTCTTGTAAAAGGTATTCATGTCAGTTGAGCTCTGCATTTGTATCCTCGTCTGACCTAGAAAAGAGAGATATATAAAGTGGAATGCAAACATAATAAAAAGTTTACTCACCCCATCTTCGGCTTGCGTGGGTGCATCTATGTTCTGGCATGTCATTTAGTAAACATTGTTTGACAGGGTTATGGGTGCAATATCTCAATAAATTGCCTGCTCAGAGCCAGTAGGTCAGTAGTATTCTGTTTCACACCAACAATGCTGATATCAGACTGAACAACGGTACAGACAGAACTGAAGTTTAAAATTTTTAAATTACATTGAATGGCCAAGAAATGGTTGGTTTGGTATTGTAACGGAGGTAATACTCATATGGTATGTTGAGCACCACATTGGTATTAACTCTCTTCGTTTGAAACAGAGTGAATGTCCCTTTAGCTCTCAACTGAAAGTTTTCAGCTCAGTGTCAGAGGGTACACATTCATATCATTAAACACAGTGATAACATCTCTCTGGCTCTCAACAGAATATTGTCTGCTCAGTGCCAGAAGAATGCACATTCATATCATTATAAACACAGTGATAACATCTCTCTGGCTCACAACAGAATATTGTCTGCTCAGTCAGTACCAAAAGGATGCACATTCATATCATGTAACACACCACTACATCTCTCTGGCTCTCAACAGAATATTGTCTGCTCAGTTAGTGCCAGAAGGATGCACATTCATATCAATAAACACAGCATAACATCTCTCTGGCTCTCAACAGAATATTGTCTGCTCAGTCAGTTTCAGAGGATGCACATTAATACCATGAAACACAACATTACATCTCTCTGGCTCTCAACAGAATATTGTCTGCTCAGTTAGTGCCAGAAGGATGCACATTCATATCATTAAACACAGCATAACATCTCTCTTGCTCTCAACAGAATATTGTCTGCTCAGTCAGTTTCAGAGGATGCACATTAATACCATGAAACACAACATTACATCTCTCTGGCTCTCAACAGAATATTGTCTGCTCAGTTAGTGCCAGAAGGATGCACATTCATATCATTAAACACAGCATAACATCTCTCTGGCTCTCAACAGAATATTGTCTGCTCAGTCAGTTTCAGAGGATGCACATTAATACCATGAAACACAACATTACATCTCTCTGGCTCTCAACAGAATATTGTCTGCTCAGTTAGTGCCAGAAGGATGCACATTCATATCATTAAACACAGCATAACATCTCTCTGGCTCTCAACAGAATATTGTCTGCTCAGTCAGTTTCAGAGGATGCACATTAATACCATGAAACACAACATTACATCTCTCTGGCTCTCAACAGAATATTGTCTGCTCAGTTAGTGCCAGAAGGATGCACATTCATATCATTAAACACAGCATTACATCTCTCTGGCTCTCAACAGAATATTGTCTGCTCAGTCAGTTTCAGAGGATGCACATTCGTATCATGAAACGCAGCATTACATCTTTCTGGCTCTCAACAGAATATTGTCTGCTCAGTTTCAGAAGGGGTCACATTCATATCATTAAACACAGTGATAACATCTTTCTGGCTCACAACAGAATATTGTCTGCTCGGTTTCAGAAGGGGTCACATTCATATCATTAAACACAGCATAACATCTCTCTGGCTCTCAACAGAATATTGTCTGCTCAGTCAGTTTCAGAGGATGCACATTCGTATCATGAAACGTTCGTTCGTGTCTCCTACGATCAAGATTAATGTAATCTTGATCTTCGGAGTAGTTGCTACAACCGGCCGTGTCAGACACGTTGCCCCGGGGTGCGAGATAGGACTCTTGTAGCATGCCCCCATTTAAAACAATTATACAATTACAGTTAACATTACATTTAATTAATAGTATGAAACTATTAAGATTACTCTCTGAAACACAACATTACACAACATTACATCTCTTTGGCTCTCAACAGAATATCGTCTGCTCAGTCAGTGCCAGAAGGATGCACATTAATACCATGAAACACAACATTACATCTCTCTGGCTCTCAACAGAATATTGTCTGCTCAGTCAGTGCCAGAAGGATGCACATTCATACCATTAAACACAGCATTACATCTCTCTGGCTCTCAACAGAATATTGTCTGCTCAGTCAGTGCCAGAAGGATGCACATTAATACCATGAAACACAACATTACATCTCTCTGGCTCTCAACAGAATATTGTCTGCTCAGTCAGTGCCAGAAGGATGCACATTAATACCATGAAACACAGCATTACATCTCTCTGGCTCTCAACAGAATATTGTCTGCTCAGTCAGTGCCAGAAGGATGCACATTAATACCATTAAACACAGCATTACATCTCTCTGGCTCTCAACAGAATATTGTCTGCTCAGTCAGTGCCAGAAGGATGCACATTAATACCATGAAACACAACATTACATCTCTCTGGCTCTCAACAGAATATTGTCTACTCAGTCAGTTTCAGAGGATGCACATTAATACCATGAAACACAACATTACATCTCTCTGGCTCTCAACAGAATATTGTCTGCTCAGTCAGTGCCAGAAGGATGCACATTAATACCATGAAACACAACATTACATCTCTCTGGCTCTCAACAGAATATTGTCTGCTCAGTCAGTGCCAGAAGGATGCACATTCATATCATTAAACACAGCATTACATCTCTCTGGCTCTCAACAGAATATTGTCTGCTCAGTGCCAGAAGGATGCACATTCATATCATTAAACACAGCATTACATCTCTCTGGCTCTCAACAGAATATTGTCTGCTCAGTCAGTGCCAGAAGGATGCACATTCATACCATGAAACACAACATAACATCTCTCTGGCTCTCAACAGAATATTGTCTGCTCGGTCAGTGCCAGAAGGATGCACATTCATATCATTTAAAACAGCATTACATCTCTCTGGCTCTCAACAGAATATTGTTTGCTCAGTGCCAGAAGGATGCACATTCATATCATTTAACGCAGCATAACATCTCTCTGGCTCTCAACAGAATATTTTCTGCTCGGTCAGTGCCAGAAGGATGCACATTCATATCATTTAAAACAGCATTACATCTCTCTGGCTCTCAACAGAATATTGTTTGCTCAGTGCCAGAAGGATGCACATTCATATCATTTAACGCAGCATAACATCTCTCTGGCTCTCAACAGAATATTGTCTGCTCAGTCAGTGCCAGAAGGGTTCACATTCATATCATTTAACACAGCATAACATCTCTCTGGCTCTCAACAGAATATTTTCTGCTCGGTCAGTGCCAGAAGGATGCATATCCATATCATTTAACGCAGCATTACATCTCTCTGGCTCTCAACCGAATATTGTCTGCTCAGTCAGTGCCAGAAGGATGCACATTCATATCATTAAACACAGCATTACATCTCTCTGGCTCTCAACAGAATATTGTCTGCTCAGTCAGTACCAGAAGAATGCACATTTGTATCATGAAACACAGCATTACATCTTTCTGGCTCTCAACAGAATATTGTCTGCTCAGTTAGTGCCAGAAGGATGCACATTCATATCATTAAACACAGCATAACATCTTTCTGGCTCTCAACAGAATATTGTCTGCTCAGTCAGTGCCAGAAGGATGTACATTCATATCATTAAACACAGCATTACATCTCTCTGGCTCTCAACAGAATATTGTCTGCTCAGTCAGTGCCAAAAGGATGCACATTCATATCATTAAACACTGAGATAAAATCTTTCTGGCTCTCAACAGAATATTGTCTGCTCAGTCAGTGCCAGAAGGATGCACATTCATACCATGAAACACAACATAACATCTCTCTGGCTCTCAACAGAATATTGTCTGCTCAGTGCCAGAAGGATGCACATTCATATCATTAAACACAGCATTACATCTCTCTGGCTCTCAACAGAATATTGTCTGCTCAGTCAGTGCCAGAAGGATGCACATTCATACCATGAAACACAACATAACATCTCTCTGGCTCTCAACAGAATATTGTCTGCTCGGTCAGTGCCAGAAGGATTCACATTCATATCATTTAACGCAGCATTACATCTCTCTGGCTCTCAACAGAATATTGTCTGCTCAGTCAGTGCCAGAAGGATGCACATTCATATCATTTAAAACAGCATTA